CTTGGGGAAGATATTCTTGGGTTGATTCTATTTGGGGTCCTTTGTATTTCTTGGGTCTGGATGCTTGAGTGCCTCTCTATACTTGGGAAATTTTCTTCCAAGATTTCATGGAATAGGTTTTCCATGCCCGTATTAGTTTCTTCATCTGCTGGGATACCAATTATTTGGATGTTAGGACGTCTAATGGAATCTAGCACTTCTCGTATGTTATCTTAATGATTTTTTGTTGTTGTTTTTATTTTCTCTATCTTTTTTGTGGTTTTCTCTAGGTCAGAAGTTCTATCTTCTACATCAGAGATTTGACCTTCAGCATGGTCTACTAGACTTTTAATACTTTCAAGAGCATTTTTGATTTCCTGTATTACAGACTTCACCTCTAATAGTTCCATCTTATTCTTTCTTAGCGTGTCCATTTCTTCCTTCATATCGTGGAAGGACTTTCTCATCTCCTGTAGTTCATTGTCTCTTTTTTGTTCCAGTTCATAGTATTTGTTCAACATGAATGTTCTAAATTCTATTTCGGACATTTTGGTAACGTCCTCTATGTTTTTCAAGAAAAGGAAGGGAGTTACTGTGTTCTTTTGATGGAGACATATTTCCTGCTTTATTCAGACCTGAGGTTCTTCTTCTACTTCTAACCATTGGGAGATGTATTCTCTTTGAAAAACCTTTGAAGAGAACGTTTCCTTGAATAGGAGCAAGTGTGTTTCCTTTTTGCTGGCTGACAGAGGGGTCTCTGGCTTGGAGATCCTGACGCCAAAGGTATGGGGGGCAGTCCTCTCTTGAAGTTCCTGGCCCAGGGGTCAAAAAATGGGAGTGGCGTTTCTGTAGGACTGGCTTACAGAGGGGTCTCTGGCTTGGTGATCCTGGAGCTAAAGCTACAGGGCGCAGTCCTCCCTTGAAGTTCCTGGCCCAGGGGTCAAAAAATGGGAGTGGCGTTTCTGTAGGACTGGCTTACAGAGGGGTCTCTGGCTTGGTGATCCTGGAGCTAAAGCTACAGGGCGCAGTCCTCCCTTGAAGTTCCTGGCCCAAAGGTCGAAAGATGGGAGTGGCCTTTCTGTAGGACTGAGGGCGTCCTGGCTGACAGAGGGGTGTCTGGGTTGGGGATCCTGGGGCTGAAGCTATGGGGGGGGCAGTCCTCCCTCGAAGTTCCTGGCCCAGGGTTTGAAAGATGGGAGTGGAGTTTCTGTAGGACTGAGGGCGTTCCTGGCTGACAGAGGTTTCTCTGGCTTGGGGATCCTGGGGCTGAAGCTATGGGGGGCAGTCCTCCCTTGAAGTTCCTGGCCCAGGCGTCGAAAGATGGGAGTGGGGTTTCTCCTGTCTTTGCTTCTTATCACAAGGATTATCAATTATCTAAATGTCTCAACTTTTTACAGCATGAATGGAAATGATAACAATGCAAAAGATAGTTTTTCTTTGCCTCTGAACTGCTCTTGGAGATGATGCAAATACAAATTTTGGTGGATGTTTGCTTAAATGTATAGATATGTTATTTCCAAGCTTAAACAAAGCATGAATGATTCCATAAAAGTATTGATTGTTCTGTCTATATTCTGCATAATTATGTTCACACATCATCCAATCTTCCTGGTATTGTCTGAAATAATTGTCATGAAATTGTTCTCTTACTTTAGCATTCACATGTTTGAGTTGAGTGATAATTTTTGTAATTTTGTTAGCATTCAGTAGTCATTTCCCTTGTATTCAGAAACTCATTGGTTCTCTTTTAATTTACACAGTTAAGATAAGTCTCAGATTATTTTATTTTTAAGTTCTCAGATTATTTTAAGCACTGAAATAATATTTTAATTCTCAAGAAAAAGTTCAAAATTCTTGTTTAATTTTAAATAATCAACTGAATAAAACTTACGTATTTTTATTTGTGGTTTCCAAAGCCTTTAACAGAATTACACAAGCTGAAATTGTGAAAAGTGAACTGTATTTTTGAAATAATCTGTTACTTTAAAGAAAGAACTGATGAAATCTTTTTGTCAATGCTGGTTTTAAAAGGGACAAGATTACCTACGAACAGGAAAATAAATTCTAACTTGATCTACATAATAATTATTGTACTTCCCATGACCTTCTTTTGGAATAAATTTCATCCCTTGAATAATTTGATTTTTACATGGATATTACTAAATGCTCTTCCAGCATGGGAACAAACAAGTGGGATTATCATCTACAGCGTTAAATAAAAACAGAATAAAAACTGACAAAAATACTTTTATTTTTGAGAATGGAGTTTTTTAAAACGTTGTTGATCAAGAAAGCCAATGTCAGCCTGAAGAATGGAAAGGCAAATAATTCCGTGAAAGATGGTATCAAAAATCAAATGTGTGGTTAATTATGAGTTCCATGAGTCAAATCTGAAGAGCAATTACCAGAGCTAACTTTATGACAGTGCGTTTTAGTCGGGTAGGCTCATGATCTAATGCCGAGCTTGGTTTCTGATGACTTGTCAGAGGAAATTCTGTTACTTAATTCTGCAAAGCACGGGACTATTAAGCACAGATAAGTCATTGGAGAAATGGAATAAATTAGAAAGACATGTAAATCAGGTAGTTATAATTTATTTGCAATAAAAAAAAAATTCCGTGATTCCAGCGGACGAATGAGAATTCCAGCGCGTTGTTGTTAATCAGTTGGCGGACGCAAGGCCTTACGGGAAATGCCGTGTGCGCTTTCTGGCGCGGCCGCCGGGTCCAGCCGGGCTTTCTGCGCACGTGCGCACCACGGCCTGTTCCGCTGGGGGGCGCGGTCCAGCCAGGAGGTGCGGAGCCGCAGCC